ATTGCAAGTGTACTTCAACAAAAATTAGAGGTTCTTTGCAGGGAGTCTGAAATAGTCAGGTCAGAAATATATAATAAAAAAGGCAAATGTTTGAGTGTTCAGAAAACTTGGATTGTTCTCTTCCCTACTGCTGCATTGGTGTGGTCTTGGTGAAGTCAGACAGGGGCAGCTATAAAATGTGGAAAAGGCATTAATACATAGGTAGTTACCAGCCATCTTCAGAAATCTCACCATGTCTCTTTCTTCAAGTTGTCTTGGCAAATGTTGTCATTTATATTGTTTTCATTATACAGAAGGAAAATATAGTGACATGTTTTGCAATAAATACTGTATTGGAAAATACACTGTAAGAAAAGAAATCCTGGTAAGAGAACATACCAGGTCACTTGACCTTCCTGTTTCTAACCTGTTGTTTAATACTTAAAGGCACATGGTTGTCATTTTTAAAAAAACTATTTTTGTGCAGAAAATTTCCCTCCATGCTCCTTTTACTATATGCACAAGCGATAACAAGTCCCTGTATGTGGCAGGGATTTTTACATCCTTCATCTGTCTAATTTGTTTTCTATATGCATTTTTTTCTGCTTTGGGGGGATGTTAAATAACAAATCAAGATTTCTATCAAAAAGAAATAAATCAAATATTGCATGTTTTCTGTGCCAATTTTTCAGTGTATTTCTTCTGCTGTACCCATTTATTTTTCTGTAAACTTATGAACCAGACTGGAAAAAAAGGCTGTGGCTTGCACAAGATCATGTTAATATTGTCTCAGATAACTTCAGTGTAGTTGTTTGGAAGAAGATGCTTTTCACAAAATAATGATTTTGAACTGCAGTATGTTCTAATCTTCATAAAGTGTCACGACGCATTGAACGCTTCTTGATCCAGAAGAGGAACCAATAGATGCTAACAGGTTATTATTGCCTTTTTAGGTTTTTCACGTTTCCCGGCTCTCTTGATTTCCTTTCCTTCTCTCCTTTTTGTTGCATTGACTCTATGATTTTTCTGTGTTCTCTGCTGTCCATATTTTGTCAGGAGTAAATCTGTACTCCTAATAGTATTCACAATTACCTTTTTCGATTTTTTTTTTTTTCCTGAAAATGACACATTGTTCAATCAGAACAGAAACTGAGTGCAACCAAACTGTATCTCTTTCTTACGTGTCAAATGCATCATATAATGGAACGTATGATGTCTTTTTCTTAAAAAGCAGGTAGGCTTTCTGCATCTTTTATTTTTGGCAACAGAATGTTAGTTTTGTTCTATGTTGGGAACCAAACTTGGATTCTGGAATAGCAGTGTAAATTTTATTCTTTTTTTTTAGTTTTATGTTTGTTTGTTGGACTTAAACTAAGGAATAATGTTGGCATACTTCTCCCTCTTTGATGTTTGTCCTTTTAATGAATTGTTTCATTTATCTTCATTTGAGGGTGGGTTTTTTTTGTTAAGCTGAGTAAGCAAGACTAATTTTTCTTTTATACAGCAGGCTCTTTGGTCATATCATTAGCTCCTTTCCGTAGTTCTTGTAATTAGAACTTCTTTTTCTTGAAAACAGGAATTCAGAATCATGTGTGGTATTCCAGTCAAGTTGTTGCTCATGTGCAATAATGTTTGTATTTCCCTACCTCTATTGCAAAGAAGTTCTTGATGTGCATTTGCCTCTTCCCCCCGACCCTTTTTCCCCCCTACAGAGCTGCATCAGTTTATGGTTGACCACAGAATGACTATACTCCCAAATAACAAGCCCTGACTACATGAAAGAAGCTTGTATTGGTCCCTACGTGCAGGAATCTTGCATTTCATACGCTTTTATTTCATGTGGCTTCTAGTATGTAATTTTTCAAGACTGGTCACTTGTGTGCGTGATACTCTGTTCCCCTTTTGTTGCAGTGCTTTCCACTTCTGTCTCATCTAAACCTACCTATTCTTTTCTGGCAGCATTGTTAAAAAAAAAAAAGTTTGATATAATTTTTGGAGGAGCTAGTAGTTCTTTCCTAGTCCAATTGTTCCATGTTTGCAACATCATACTGTATTCTTGTAGAAAGTTTCTTTCTCATTTTAAGATTACTCTCTTACCACATTTGTTTAATCTCAGATGATTTACTGAGTTCAGATTGCATCTTGTTTGAGTTTTCTTTTTTTCAAGGAAATGACTGATTCGTTTCTTAGATACTGGATTAGTCCAGCATGTCCTAAATCTGCTAAAGGTTACTGCTTTTTTCTCCTGTTTTCCTTTTTAATACAACTGAATTCAGACCACCGAGCCTGATCATTTTTTTTCTTCTTGAAGTGTTAACTACTGTATTTTTTCTTCTCTCTAATCATATGATAGCACATTTCATTTGATTTTACCAAAATGCTCATTGCAGTTTTTTGGGATAGCTGTAATGTTTTGGTGTAGACATTTTTTCAGTTCCCCAGCTTCAATGTATTAGCACTCTCAAGTTATGCTTTTACCTTGGAAGGTGTTAATATATTTGCATTCCCACTAACTAGCTTGTCTTTATTCCTGTATGTAGTGGCATTATTTGTATTGGAAACCAAGGCGTATTTTTATCATCACTAGTACCTCCACAAAATGGTATCACTTCTTCTGTGTTTTAATTATTATTGTTTATAAATCATAAGCAGTTTCACTACTCTTTTGGAGCATAGGGAAGGTTTTTGTGGTTAGAGAAAGAGGTAGCACAAGTGATCCTCTTCTGTGAAGTAGAAGTAATAATGTAAGGTATCCGTTCAGTTCCTCAGCAACAGATACCCTCCAATAAGATGCTTGATTTCCATTTATGAAAACTATTGAAATACGGTGAAAGATCCCATCAGTTTTGTGCCACAGTTGTTCCAGCACCCAAATGTAATTTCCTTGGATGACTTCCTGGAATTATTGAAAATGGCAAAGGCATTTAACAGTTGATATTAAGGTATCTCTGTGACTGTGTACACAAATTAACTCCCAAACGGCATTCTTGAATGTGCCTTATATTCAGGAACGTTTCATCTGCAAGAGTACAGGTGAAGAAGTTCCTGATACCAGTGAGGAACGAGAATATTTTGTAAGACATTTCTGTAAAGTCAGGATAGTTTTCAAAGACAACAGCAATGTAAGTGGAGGATGCTTTTTGCTCAGTTCTCCACAGACAGCTAAAAACTACTGGTTATGCATGTGTAGTGTGATTATGTGTACATAACAAAGTGCCTTCTTGTGAAAGCTTGAGGAAACATTCAGACTATTTGATATTTGTAGTTATGAAAAAAGGGAGATGGAACAAATCAGCACCAAAGTGCTGTTGAGAAGTGAAGCTATCGGCAACAGCAAAGAGCTGCATCTTCTGAAGAGATGCAGAGATCTCTGTAAAACTTCCTCCAAATCTTGTAGCTCCCTCCTCAACTTGCTTACATTTTTTGCTAAGCTTTTACCAGAAACATAGGAGGGAGGGGATGGCGGGAAGTGGTTTCTGTTCTGTTTTTTCCCATCGCCTGCTCTGGGGTCCTTCTCTAGTGAGTAATCACAGTTCATGCCTCTGCTGTTGCTTGTTGCTTTTTGAAGCAACAACATGGATTGTCAGAATTCTTAACGGTCTGTTTGCTGCCCCCGACCCTGGATATCAGCTGGGAAACCACCCAGAATCACTGGTGCTGTTTTCCTGAACCTGTGGGCACACAACAGTAGTTCATTGATTGTACTGTGTTAATGTTTGGAGAGTAGCTGTTGACGTGAAAGGAATTTTAGGACAGCAGGTGGGTGGGTGGAATTTCTCTTCCAAAGTTTTCTTTTCCACAGCAGAGATGCAGTTCAGCGTGAAGAAATATATGTTGTATCTGAACATACCGGATTTGTTTTGCAAATAAATGCTTCCATTTATCTAACTCTTTGGATTCATTTTCATGGTGAAATACATCCGCAGCAAGCTGGATGTCAATTTATAAGCTATGGAAGCTCCTGGTTAACTTGCTGTATGAATACTTAGATTAAATGTCTGAAGTAGCTTATCTAGGTGACATTGGTGGCTGTATCAGGAACTGTCAATCTTCTGGGAAGGACAGGTTGGAGGCCAGGTATTTAGTGCACACTGATTAGACTGATCCCTGAGCCTTCTCTTCTCCAGTCTAAACAACCCCAGTTCTCTCAGCCTCTCCTCATATGACAGGTACGCCAATCCCTTGGTCATCTTTGTGGCCCTTTGCAGGACTCGGATCAGTCTGGCGTGTACTGGGGAGCCCAGAGCTGGACCCAGCACTCCAGATGCGTCCCACGAGTGCTGAGTGGAGGGGCAGGATCACCTGCCTCAACCTGCTGGCAACACTCCTAATACAGCCCAGGGTGCTGTTGGCCACCTTTGCTGCAAGGGCACATTGGTGGCTCATGTTCAACTTGGTGTCCACCACCACCCTGAGGTCTCTTTCTGCAAAGCTGCTTTCCAGCTGGTAGTGGTGCCTGGGGTAATTCTTCCCAAGGTGCAGGGGTTTGCATTTCCCTTTGATGAACCTCATAGGTTTCCTGTTGGCCCCTTTTTTCCAGCTTGTCAAGGTCCCTCTGAATGGCAGGACAACCACTCCTCTATTCACAGCACAGTGAACTGTTCTCTGACTTTTTTTTTTTTTTCCTGTAGACAAGCCGTTCAGTCTCTTAAGTGCCTTTTGCAGTGTGGCAAAACTTGCTTTCTTTACCTCCCTAATACCATTGCATGGATGGTGTCCGTAGTGATAAAAGTTGTAAGGCTCTTGACATAACTCTGGCTTTATAGTCAAGGGTCTTTAAAAAGCTTAGGGGAACAGCTTCTTTAAAAAGTAAGCTAAAATTTAGAGATTCTTGAATATGGTAGGGATCTCTGGACAGCAAAGATAAGTTTCAAAATGTAATGCTCATCAACATGGCATGCTGTGTATAGTCACATTCTTTTCTGAAGAGTGTTTATGATAACATAAAGGCTAGTAACTAAAGCTGACTTAAGAAATTGTACTACTGACTGAAAACATTGCCACTTGTGTTTTTTCAGACGCTCCTATTGCAAAAGCTGCTGTTGAAAAGAAATAATTTTTTTTATAAGAAGAGAATGGGTAAGTTCATCATCTTAGAGGGTTTTTTTTGTTTCCTATAATGTGAAACATTTTAACATTTTCTCTCTTACATCGGTAGAGGAGGTGGATTGTAAGACTTTAAATGTTGATCTTGTCACTGTTTTTCTTGTAGCCTCAAAAGTTAATGGAACTTCCTACAGATGTTTTTAGGAGGATTTTCTCAAGTGACTGCTCATTTGTCGAAAGACTTGTTCAGAGTGCATATATCTAACAGTAAATTTCACTTGCTTAATATGCATAGTGCTGAAAACATACATGCTAAAATAGGATGTCTTTAGGCTTTTATAGCACTAAACTTTTAGATAGTGGACAAGAAAATTTCACTATGTAGTGTTTTAAATGTTTGTTTGTTAACTAAGGTCAGCCTGTTGAATTCTGGCTAAGAGATCATATTAAGGACTGATTTCTGATAAATTACATTGTGTGTGTGTGATCTGACTGTCCGAAACTGAAGTATCTGCCTCTACAAATGACTGGTTAATGGAACATGATTGGACAGATTCTGGTTTTATCTGTACTTGTTCTGGATGTATTTTAGCATGTTTGGCACTGGCAGTACTTTATTAAAATTGGCAATAACTACATGGTAATTAAATTTTAACTTCAAATTCACAAAGCAACTTAATTGATTGGGGGAATGTTATATTTGCTATAACACTAGATACAATGCAAGGTACTTATTCTAATATAATTTCTATTCTTTTTTTTGTCAGAAGGAGAAACAACACTAACAATCAAATATCAAGTTTGTAGTCCATATCTGTTTTATCTTCTGTACTTCTGCATACGATCATGAGATACTAGCAGTATATTACTTTTCTAGAAGCATACACATCTCTTCTGTTATACTTTTCCAAGCTGGCAGAACTTCCAGGACTTTCAGTTTTAACTTTCTGTCAAGATCATTACTGTTCTGAAAATCAGATTTTATGTGCAGTGTCAAATTCAAGTATTTTTAGTGGAATTCTAGCAATACTTGTTATATTAGTCCCTTAGAAAATACAGTATTTGAAAGAAGGTGTTCACTTCCCAGTTTGAATTTGATAGGACTTGTATATTTAGTGGGGTGGGGGTCTTTTTACACCCACTTTTTCAAAAATATGTTAATATTACTGCAGTCTTTATTACTTAAGCGTTGGCAGGAACATATAAAGACCAACTACAGAGACAGTCTTAGTGTGGTGGTGTGCTATAATGCTGAGCACTCTACTGGCACAAAGTAGTCAGTGGTTCCTACCCCAGAGAGCGTGCTGCCTAAATACACAAGACAGGTGCAAGATGGGGAAACTGTTAAGACTCCACATAGTGAACAGTGCAGTGGTGGCAACAGTAATGTTGTTTTTTCAACTTTCAGAGATAGCATTGTTAGGAGAGAATAAATGAATGAACAAAAAGGGAAAGGAGATATGGGCTTCTAGAGAAACAAAGTAGAGAGCGGGTATATAGTGAGACAGAAGGGAGAAGGGAAAGAAAAAGCAGTGTCAAAACTGCTGTGGGGAGAATTTCCAAATTTCCTTTCCAATGTGCTTTTGCACTTTCCCTGTTTTCCACCAAAGGTCACAAAGCGGGTGTGCGCTAACGCTGTATGGTTCTGGGTCTGGCTGGGCAGTTGGGGAGGATGAAGCTTATTTCATGTCATTTTTTTCAGTACAGGAATACTGACTGCTTTTATTCTTACCTGTGCTTCAAAAAGCGTTTTTTTCCTTGCAGTCTGTATTTTTAAATATTAGATATGTATTTAGGTAACTTCTAGTAAGTGCTAGTATTATAAACATGGCAGTAGTCTTATGGAGGGAAGTGGTAGCATGTTCAATTCACTTGAGAATGTCTAAAGGAAAATTTCATCCCTATGTAGACTTCAGAAATCATGTCAGAATTTTGGTGATGGAGAAATGAGAGAGATGTTAATAAAAAAATTCCTAGTTTTGCAAAAATTCTTACTTTCAAACATATTGCTGAGCGCTTGAGAGAAGTCATCTTCAAATATGCAAAATGCTTCCGTCATTTCTGGTTGTATTGGGTTCTTCGGTCTGCAAACATAGTAATAGAAAAGACTGCAGCTTGCATTCTTAGTGATGTGAATCAGGCATTGTGTTCTGAAACTGTTAATCTGTTTTCCATTACAGATGGAGAAGAGAAAACATACGGTGGGTGTGAGGGCCCAGATGCTATGTATGTGAAGTTAATATCCTCCGATGGCCATGAGTTCATTGTAAAAAGAGAGCATGCATTAACATCAGGAACAATAAAAGCTATGTTGAGTGGACCAGGTAGGTACAAAAGATTTAGTACCTTCACATCCTTTGTTTTCACTTTTGGACAGTTTGAATTTATATCATGCAGTGAGTGAAAGTTGGAATAAATGATAACATTTCCAGATCCTGCCTAGTTCCTGTTTCCAGTGGAACAGTCCACCTCTGTGGGGTATTGTGCTACCAGACATATAATTGAACTCTGTCTGCTTTTGGACAGCTAGCGATCTTACGGTGTCATTACTACTAGTTTCCCATGGTACGAGAACTTGAGGCTATTGCATGACATGTGTAGCTGCCAAGTTCAAAACAAACAAGAGTCGGTAGTTCTTCATTGCCACCTCCACGGTGGAACTTCTAGTATTCTGTACTGTGTCTGGCTGGTACAGAGTTCATTTTCTTCATAGCAGGTCATATGGTTCTGTGGTTTAGATTTGAGACCAAAACAATGCCAATAACACACCAATGTTTTAGGCTATTGCTGAACAGTGTGTGCACAGTGGTCAGGCCTTTTCTGTTTCACACTCTTACCCCCACCCAATGAATAGACATGGGTGTATGCAAGAGGTTGGGAAGGGAACACAAGCAGGCAGATGACTCAAACTAACCAGAGAGATATTGCATGCCATATAATGTCATGCTCAGAAGTAAAAAGGGAGAGGAGGGGATTAGGGAGGTTAGCCATTTTTTGCTTGGGAACTGGCTGGACATGAGTCTACCCATGGGAGGTGGAGTGATTAGCTTTGCATCAATTGTTTTGTTTCCTTTCTCTTCTTCTGCTTGTCTTTTAGATTATTAAACAATTTTTTTTTTATCTCAACCCATGAGTTTTCTTGCTTCTACTCTTCCTTTCTTCTTCCCTTGTCCACTGCAGGGGGAAGTGAGCAAGTGGGTGCGTGGTGCTTAGGCGCCTACTGGGGTTTAGGCCACAACATGTTCACAAGATCCTATGGCAAGGAGTTCCTGAGCTTAGTGACGTTAGCTTAAGTTACAGAAGGGAAGGATCTCATGTGTTCCTAAATATATGAGACTACCTCTGGTTTAAGAAGTGTCTGAACTAATTCTTGAAGACCGAAAAGGCGGAAGGAAGAACAGGGAGAAGTTAACACGTGTGCTTTCCCTCTTCTGTACGCTCAGCCTGTACGTTTACCTTTGGCCACTTGTGTGGTGGGCAGTAGGTGATGTGGAGCTCTCCTCTGAATACAGTCATTCTTATATTTTCTTGTAGATTCTGTTGAGGGGGATTACTGCAGAGATCTATTTGCTTAATATGTTTTTAAATTACTTAGCAATAGTTGGGCAAACTGAGCAATTAAAGTTCTCAGCTTAATGTTCTGCTAAATGTCACTGTACTGGTTGCATTTGACAATATGTAGCAGGTCTGACCCACTCTGTGTCAGCGTCCCAGACATGTAAGAGGAAGCGTAGCTACAAGACCTGCTCTGAATTTGTTCCACAAACAATGTGAAGGAGTAAAAGGCGAAGTAGCGTGTTGAGAGGGCTAGAAAACTGACTCTGTAAAGGAGTCAGCATTCAAGAATATTTTTTATAAAAACTAGCAAGATAAATGGGTTTGCAAGGAAAAGTACTCTTGCTGTCTAGTTCAGTAGGTCATAATTTCACTGATGTGTAAGTGTTCTCTATTTCAGTACTGTGACATTGCCAATATGCTAATGTTTCTTCTGTTGCTTCCTACTGTTCCGGTACTAGAATTCAAGCCTGACTGGCTTCAGTGCATGCAGATACTTCTACACAAATGTGTGTAGACATTAGTAAATGACTGTGCTTTGTAGTTAGAAGGGGATTCCTATAGAAATAGTGGAAACCAAACATTGCTAGGTCTCCCATAAATATGGAGGAGTACATGTTAGTGTTTTACTGTCTTTCAGCTTAATGAGTTGAAAGTCCAGAGAGATGAGGAAAAGAGGGACAAAGATAACAGTAGAAAGGCTGTGGGACTAACCACAGGATGACTTCATATCATCCAACTTTCATGCTTATAGGCACTATAGAAAGCTAATTTCAAATGTACTTGTGTTTTGAGATTTGAGCTTTGGATAAATTCTTCAGTATGTAACAGTGAAACCTTCCTCCAGTACAGCTAGGTTTCCCAGTCCCTCCTACCTGCCTGTTTTCGCAGCTTATCAAGTTAATGCATCTTTGAGATTCTAACCCTCTGTCAAATCTGCCTGGAACTGACCAAGAAGTTCAAAGCTAGTGGGATCACAGAAGGGACCTGATAAGTGTGCATATGCAGATATGGAACATCTATAAACCATTTGTTTTCCTTGCATAAGACAGCTAGAAATTTGGATTGATACCTTTCTGGGTTTTTTTAAATGTTGTTACTGTGAGCTTTAGAGCTGAGCATGCTACAGTTTTAGAGCACCTATCAAGCAAGCATCAGAATTAAACCTAAATTTCTGGTGTAGTAGTTCAGAATATTGTTAATAGTCTGCAGCCAAAATAAACACTTTGTAATGCAGGGGACCTTAATATTCTTGAGGGTTGTGAATGCGGCAGATCCTGCTTTACACTGAAGAATCTAATACCCAGGAATATGGGACTTAGGGAAGTCTGTTTAGAATGTGCTGTATTAGTATGGTAAAGCATTTCATTTTGCAGTGAATTGAGATTCTGACTTTTGGCTTGGTGTTTTGTTTTTGTTTTTTTTTTCCTACAGGACAGTTTGCAGAAAATGAAACAAATGAGGTGAATTTTAGAGAGATCCCATCCCATGTCCTATCCAAAGTATGCATGTATTTCACCTACAAGGTCCGCTATACTAACAGCTCTACGGAGATTCCTGAATTCCCAATTGCACCTGAAATTGCACTGGAACTTCTGATGGCTGCAAACTTCTTAGATTGTTAAATAAAATAAATTATAATAAAAAATGTAAAACTTTTTTCAGTATTTAATACATGTAGTTCAGTTAGTAACTTTTTTCAGATAGCATGTTGCGTGTGTGCTGTTGAGAACTGTAAAGTTCACTGCAGAGGCAATTGCCTTCAGTCCTTTTGCATATAGCAATCATTCAGTTGAAGTTTGTTTTGCTGCTTACACAAATAAGGAACTTTTCACAAACTGAGACAAATAAACAGATATGCCAATTAGTAGATGGCTATGCCTTATCCTTTAGGTGTGGTAGAACTTTCTTTTAATACAATGACCATAGAAAATACTGGAGTTTAGTCTAATGCTCTCTAAAAGGTAATTATAGTTAAATACGAGTAGCTGTTTAGGGTTTCTAACTTTCTCTTATTGTTAAAGTTTCTAAACATCTGAACTTAATCTCCTTTGTAAGATAGCTGTCCTTTAGCATAGTTATACTAACTAGATTAGAAGTGCCCTCCCTAAGGTTTGTATACTGACAGCGATACTCCATTTAGGTTGAAAGTGGACTGTGTAGGAGAATGCTTAAGGCTTTTAATTTAAGTCATAGTATAGACATGCGTAAAGGTGTACTTGATACATTTTTCTTTTATAACCTAAATTTTCCCCGTTAGTAATTACAAATACTCAAGTCACTTTTATGTACAGTAAGACTGTGATCCTACTGACAGTGGCTTTTAAGGGGAAAAATTAACTGTTACAATCTGTGTATATTACCTTCTGTATAACATATAAAGTTATTCTTAATGTACTGTCACTTGACCTGATATGGATTTTATATGGTTTCAGTTATGGTTTATTTCCACTGTTGTGATTGGTTATGTAAAGTCTGTATTTAATCTTTAGGGTAGTAGTCATTTAAATTTTGTAACGTAGCAACTGAAAAGATAGCAGTTACCCTATCTTTTACCACTTCCTCGACCTCTCCCTTGTATCCCCAGATAAAGACCCTGAAACGTGGAGGTCTTTTATATTCGAAGGAAAGGGCATTAAGCAGATGTTTAAGGAGCTGTTTTATAAATTTCATAGGTATTTCCAATGTTTTTACAAATATTTTAGGGGAAAAGGATTGGCAAGCCACTGACATAATACTAGAGTGGAACACATCATCTCTTGGTAGTTCCTGCTGGTAGTTGCCTATACTACCAGTTCTTTGTTCAAAACAAGCTTCCATAAAGGAAAAAAAGAAATTAAACTTGAGACAAGCAGTTGCTTTTTGTTAACCTGCAGCCTGAAGACCCCTTCTGCCAAAATCATCTGTAAATGAGAATAAATCTAATGCATCATAAAAAATGATGCAAGAACAATGTAGTTAGCATTTCCAAAGGAGTTGCCACTGCTGCAGCTTTGTTTTGATCAAGAAGTGGTTGTGGTCTTTCATGGAAAAATCCCACCGACAGATGGTGGGACCTCTATTGATCTGTTAACTGATGGTGAATTTAGAGGGCTGAAACTCTCCTCTAAACCTGTTTGGCAACGTAAATACAACTTTGAAGAGATTTTTCTGGACAAAAACTAGTAACTTACATAGACTATGCAGTCTGCCCATGGAGGAGTTCACTTCTGACAAAATGAAATTTTACTCTGGGCTTGAACAACGCTTGATAGACAAGCTGACATTTGTCAATGTGTTGATAGATTAGCTGACATTTATTCACATCACATACTTTGGCACAATTTATTGTGTTTAATGTGGGGATGTCTACGACTAGATTGGTTTTGCACGATAAAGCTGAAGTGCATTGCAAGGTGATTGTCTGAAATCCTATGTTTAAGCACTCTGGTCAGTGCTGTTAGTAACTCATTTTCAAGAGCACTAAAAAGATAAACCAGAGATACCCTGTTATGCTGCTTTTGTTAGAGCCACTAGGAATACCCTAAAAGGTCAAGGAATACTGACATGGGTATTTTAGTCCCAACTACAATCCAGTCTGAGCGAGTCTGAAGTTCTTTGGCCATTTTTAATAGTCTTGAGGTTAATGACTGAAGTTAAAAATTATTCAGTTTAACATTGCATTACAAAGGATGTCATTTTTTTAAAAAGGTGTTTTTTCCTTCCCCCCCCCGCCTTTTTAAGCATTCCAAAACAATATCCTATTAAAATACATTGCATTTTATGATTCCGTACTTCAGCAGTAAGGTAAAATAGGTGGTTTAGTTCTGAATAATATTTTGTTGTTTTTTCTTCAGCTTAATGTATCATACAGTAGCTTTGAACACTCAGGAAATGCAGTAGTGTCTTAGAGCACACTATTTGCAAAACCACCGGCTGTTAAAACTAACCTGCAGATTTCTAAGGGGAAAGTGGGCAGAGGGAATTAGTGCAATTTCCGTGATAGTGACATGGGTATGCTATTATCAGACAATTGGAAACTTACCACGCTTAACCCCTGAGTTATAAATAAATTTCAAAATTGAAAATTTTTAAACCTGTGTTGCTGTTGATTTATGACTTCTCAGAGCACGTATTCATATGTAGAATCATAATTTTCATGGCTATGTGGTGAACAAATTGCTAATATAATTAGTATTTGGGTAATAGGTTGTGAAACCGCGTGCGTAAAATTAAAAAGGTTTTTTTCGTAGTTCTGAAGAGTTCCTTAAAGTGTTTAGATATCTTTGTGCTCCTCTGAATTACAAGTATGTGCAATTCTCGGAAACAACCAAGTACTAAAAAAGGATGGTATTCCTGAACAGCCTTGACGAGGATATTTTGAAGACTTCAGGTGTCCCACAATACTCCTTTTTACTTAGTAATCGAGTCCTGTATCTGATGCTTCAAATTTTAAACTGAACCACTGATTCAGTCATAAAAACTTCCAGATTCTTTACTAACTGTAAGCAATGAGAAAAGTCCCGCTGGGTTATGGGTTTTCATCATTTGAGTATGTATAAGCTGCTGAATAAGTCTCTGATGGTCTCCAACATGAAACAGTCCGTGCATCCGGAACGATCAGAACTCCATTCCACAAGATGTGAAATTCTGTTTTGGTTTTGAGGTTGAAGAAAGGAGGGTTCACCATCCAGCTTCACCATGCCATTATAGTCAACAGCTGCATTCAACACTATGTCTAAAAGGCATTTCTTAATTAACAGGAGTAAGTGTGGAAAATTGGTTGCTTCTGTCTGCATTTTACCACTGTATATCATATTTCACAGGTGTAAGTTGCAGGGGTGGCTGTTTGGTTTTTTCAGCCTTTCTTGTTTTTAACTCTTCCCATTGCAAGGCGTTTCCCAACACCTACCTAAATCTGTTGGTTTATGTGACAGCTAAACTGGACAAGGAAATTAGTGGGGCAGAAAAGTTAACTTTTCAGTCCATGTTTTGTGTCCCTAGTTTTATTTGTTAAGTCGCAAATGTTGCAGTATAATTGAAGCGAGTAAGAGCTACTGCAGAGTCAACAAAAGCACAATGTTAGTGTGTAGGTACTAGTGAGAAATAGCAGTTTTCCTAGCTGAAAACTAAGGGTGGAGGCTGTGGTGTAAACTTAATTTCAACAACTGAGAAAAATGGCAGGAACTCATTACTTTAAGATTGAGTGGATTTGGAAATTAAACTATTCTGCTGTGTTTTAAAGACAGACCAAAGCTTTGCAATTAGCAAAAAAGGCATTAGGTAGTTTTTTCCCATGGAAAAAAGTTCAACTTTGAAGGATTTTTTTGACAAATAATAAACAGGACTGGAGTTGGATTCCTTTTTAAATCTAGCTTATTAAGTGGCATTTTTATGAGAAGATACCAATGCTGTGAACTTGATGTGTTGCACAACGATTGGAAGAGCTAGAAGAGAGCCTGTAGTAGATTTTGTGATTACTACCAGTCACCTGTGAAGCTTGTTCGAGTGTCATGATCAGGGCAGCACAGAGAAGAGCGAGTTCTTATCAGTTCAAGTTTCAACAAGTGTAATGGGTCACGAAGTAAAGCTTTGAGTATGTTACATCTAAAACACAGGTTATGGTGCCATCTCTCTTCTATGGGAGAAAGGTCACTGAGATTAAAAAAAAAGGGAAAAAAAGATATTTCTCTCTGTCATTGCCATGTTACTGTTTTATGTTTACAAAATACAGGATTTTCCTCCCACACCATGTGGGAGGAGAATCAGAGATGCAAGGTTGTGATTGTTCTTTTGACAAATGGAGTACTGCAACGTTTTATCCTATTGAACTTACATACTCGGACAGTTTTCAAGATGTTAATCGTGTAATGTTTTGTAGCCTCACTTGTCGAGGGTAGAATTGGAAAATTAAGTTAAAATTGCCCCTGAAATATGTGTTGTGTTTTAGATCAGTGAAAGTAACAATACAGACATGGATTAATGCTACTCCTTATTTATTTTTTGCCAATTTCTTTCCTCAACTGGAAGTTACTTTGAAGTTAAAAACAAATACTGTTAATTCCTTTAATGTTATTTCAAATTTAAAACTACCTTTTTAGGTGAGAATTCATAGCCAAGGCTTTTCTTCCCAAGAAAAAAAAAAACTACTGGTATCCTATTTGCACTTAATAATAGAAAAACTTTATCTCCAAAATCACCACTACACAAAAACATAAGTAATACATAATTCATGTCTTAGGTTGCTATAAATTCTTGTTACTCTGTGTAGTAAAACAATGGGATACATGTTATGGAGGTTAAATCACTCTCACATAAATAGTTCTCAGTCTTGGTTGGTATCACCAAGCCTGAAAAGTATCTAGACTCTAAATACATTTGGCACAAAGGATTTAATTCCTGGTTTTATACAGGGAGAAACTTCCTGCATTACCATACCAAGCTGACATATAATGTTTTCCAGAAGTGACGCTCCATTTGAGTCAGAATTATTTGTGGCAAACTACTTGAAACATGTAAATGATACACCAATATTGCACCAACATTTAAGCTACTTTCACATTTGTCACAGAGCACTTAAATAATGAAAAATATTTGACTTGTAATAAGCAACTATGACTTAAAAAGAGAATTGTCTGAAAATATTTAGCTGAAATGGTCAAGTAACTGCTCATCCATTGTGTTTTCACAACATAGCTCCATTCCATGGTGGTCATATCCCATATGAAGTCTTCTTTTCCTGAGGGACATTAAACAAATGCAAAGTGACAGGCTTGGACCAGTGTCATCTTGGTGTACAAGCCTGCAAAATGAAATTCTGCAAGGTCTGTAAGTAGTGTGCAGGGTCTGGTGATGGCAGAATGCAGTCTGATGTGCACATCTGGAGGATTT